AAATCCCTATATAAAACTACCTATAAGCAAATACAGGTATTTATAGGTCCAAACTAATAGTATAAAAGAACTAACCTTATAACTTATTAATAGTTATTATAAAGTATAAACGGACTAGGAACTACTTCCGGAAAAAAGTAATTCCCAGGCTAGTATCTATAGCAAATAGCTTAATCTATAGAATTACCTATAATTAGCTATTAAAATCCCTTTTAAGTAAGCGGGCCTTAATATAATATACCCGTAAGCTTATAACTATTATCCGGGTCCTATTATATAAACCTTCTTATAGATATAGGTTCTATAGGAATAGTACCGGAGCCCCGATCTTAAAAGTAAGCTAAGATAGTAATAAGAAAAGAAGATTAATACTTTATAGCTATTTTATAAATAGCTCATATAAGTCATTATTCGAAAACTTATCCGTATCCAGGGAATCTACTAATTAGTATATCCGTAATTAGCCTAGTAAATATCTAAAGATATAGATATTAAGTTCCGAGACTATAGTATTTAATATAGTTAAGAGGCACTACCCGCAGAAGGTTAATAGATCTATAGTAACCCGAGAGAGAAGATCTAGAGAGTAAACGTAACTAATTAGATCCGTAATTAATATTAGCTAGTTTATATAATCCGGAATTACTACTATTATATTAGGGTCTAAGTTATTAGGTAATTTACTAATCTAGTAGACAAACTCCTGGCTATTCTTGCCCTTATAGACCCGTATATTAGTCTATAAACAGAGCTACTTGAGCCATAGCCAAATAAATAATTATTAAAGATATATAGTAATAATATTAGCCCGTAAACTATATAGTATAACTAGAAGAATCTAGGCAAAGTTCCTACCGAGAATTACGAGTACTTCTCTAAAGAGAATATTATCTGCTATAGACTATAAATCTACTAAGAGCTAGTAAATAACCTTAAAGTAATACTTATACTATATTAGTACCTTATCCCAGATAATAAGATCCATAGACCGGAGGACCTATCCAAGAGTACTTTACTTTATAATAGAACTTATAGACAATTTATAGAACTTAATTAGAATCTTGAACTAGGAGTAAGATATATATCCGTTTAGTAATAAGAGAGCCATAATACCCGTAAATACTATATAAAGAACTATTTGCTCCTGCCTATAAAAGTAATAGTAAAGCGCCTTATATAAGAATATCTTGCCTATATTTCCTGGCTTTTATAAATAGAAGTGGGCTATTTACGAATCTGATTTAATAGCCATAATAATCTCCGTAAAATATAATTACTAATCAGAATTAAGCTAGGCTTATATTATAACTATAAATAATATCTGATTCTCGAGAATATATAATATAAATAAGAAATAGTACCTACTAGTCTAATCCCAGACAAAAGACGGGAGCCTGTAATCCGCAAGCGACTACTACTAGTTCATAAGCCTATATACGAGCAAGAAGAGGCCGTAATTATAATATGGGTTAAGAAGCAGAAGTAGGAAACCACTATTACAAGTAAGCTAGTACCAGAGATTATTATAGAAGTAGTACTTATACCGGTTCCAGATTACTAACGGGTCCGTAATTAGCTACTAGCAGAGGCTAGTCAAGAATAATATTTATAAACCACCCGCAGATATAAATAAGATAGCCTTATTAAAATACTAGTACTACTCCTAATTATTCTCTACTAAGCCGCAGGTAATATAAGTAGCCTGGTATATTAGGTAACAAATACTCTTAACCAAATATAGATCCGCAAAGAACTATAGGCTATAAATAACTATAAGTAAGAGCCATAAGTAGTATTACTTACCCGAAATAGGGCTATAGTAATATATACGGCCGATCTACTTATTCTTACCCTACTAATAACGTTTCTATTCCCGGGTCTTTGGAACCTATATAAACTTGGCCGGAAACTCGGAATATAAGTACCTCTGGCTATTCTTATATATAGTATTATACTCAAAGAAGGCTATTAGTATTAAACAGGTATTTGCAGTCTTTACAGCCAGAGCTATAGGAGAGATATTATCCGAAAAGTAAATCGTTTACTCTTCTTTAAGATAAACTATAAGATACTAAATAGGAAAGAACTCCTAATATATAGAAAATTCAAATAGCTACTAAATAGCCTTATATGAACTCATATAACAGGCATATATATACCGGGTAATCTCATTATCTATAGCTATAACTATAACTATAATATAGTCTGCTTCTTTATATATATATTTATAAATATACTTAATTACTTATATAAATATATAAATCTTAATATTAATATATAAGCAGAACTTTTAAAGAAGATATAGATTATATGAAATAACCTAGTAATTATTATAGATAACTTCCTGGCCTAGAAAGCCTAGTTTATAGACCATAAATATTTGCCCGTTATCCCGGTAACGGTACTCGGGATAGCTATTCTTATTAATTATAGTACGGTTCATAAAAGCCTTTAGGAACCTCTTAAAGTATACTAATGGGCTATGGGCTTCTTTACGGACTATATACGGGGCCCGTATATAGTCCTCCCTATACGGACTATAGGTTATATTACCCGTAACCAAGGCCAGAAGCTCGCCTATAGGATCTCATAACGGATCCGGTAGCTTAGTATATATAACCTCGTCTATATACTCAGGTATATTAAACTTTTCGAATACCTATAGGAATAAAAGTAAATACAAATATAGAAGCCCTTACTTCTGGTACTCAATTATATAAATATAACCCGTATATTATCTAAAAATATGGTTTTTTAGGTCTATAAGAAGCTTATAAACCTTAAGTCAAAATATATAAGCAATTAGATCTGGCCGGTCTATAGATTATAAGCCACCTAGCTCCTAGATAATTTCTGGCTATTATAGGTTTATTATAAAAGTAATAAAAAAGATAGGCTTTCCAAAATAATAAATAATAGCTATTAAGTCCTAGAAAAGCTATTATATAAACCAATCCCTGCCTATAAAAGAGGAAGAGAGAATAAATTAATAGCCTAGATTAGCTAGTAAGATATCTTTATAGATTAAGATATTTGCTAAACTATTATAAATATCTATACGGATCCTGTCTTAATATAAACGGAGCTAATTAAGGAATATAGTCTTATAGGTAATAAAAGTATCTATAATATATTACTAAAAGAGCTAGTAAGCCCAAAAGAGAGAAGATTCCTTATAATTACGGGTATATAAACGGAACTAGTAAAAGGGCCGCTACTTTAAACGGAACCATTAACGGGCATAACAGGTATCCTGCAAGGTCATTTTATAGTACTATCCGTATTTGCTATATAAGAAGAGAAGTATATAATAAAGTAGTATATATACTATATGGGTAATGGCTATCTAGTAAAGTTACAGACCTTAATAACCAGGCTTGCGAACTATAAGAAGAATATTATATCAACTCTCGTCCGTAAACTCGTCCGGAAGAATTCCTGCTAGCTCTATAGCTATAGGAAGATTCTTACAGTAACGATCTGCCCTAGACTAGAGAATTAGGCATATTTACAAGCTAAGAAGAATCCGAAAATAACCCGTTTAGCTAGCTAATTGCTCCCGGGCCGTCTTATAGATCCGTATAAAGGGATTACTATAATCTGCAAGTATCTCGTAAAGGCTATAAAGAATAGTTTAATTGAGTTACAAGTAGTACTATAACCGGAGATTAGTTATATAGTCTGGATTATAAAAAAATAACTAGGCAAAGGCCGGAACCTGCTATAAGCCTAGCTCCAAGGGTCCCTGGTAGTAAAATAGCTCCCTATAGATCTAAAAGTAGTAAAGATTACAAGAAAGGTTAGTACGGGTATCTTTAGTATAGCTTACGGATATAAAAGCAAGTACCGAGTTATATGCCCTTATATTCTAATGAAAGCTACGGGCTTGCGGATTATCTCTCTCGAAAAGCGCCTGTAAAAAGGGCAGCGGCGCCCGTAACTCGTCTAATACTATATCTCCCCTCTTATAATAGAGCTCAAATCTCTGATATATATCCGTAATTGCCTCCGATCCCCAGTACCTTGCCCTATAATTCTCGTACTAAATATTCATTAGGCCAAGATTATAGGCTAGCGAAAACCGAAAGAGCGAACGGAAGCCGGATGGTAAAGGAGAAAGGCTAGGAGGAGCAGGAGGAGCAGGAGAATTTGCTATGGCCAGAATACGGTCTCGTTCGATTTATATATTAGTCCGCCGAATACGCTTGCGGGGCCATAGGTTCTTATCCCCGTCCGTAACTGGCTATTATGGACTACTACGGGTCTGCCGGGGCGTATTAGGATCGAGCTTAGTAAGAGCAGGCTGGCGTATCCTCTAGCTGGCCTAAAAAGAGGTTAGCTATAGGAGAAGAAGAGAGAAGAGAGAGAAACCCTGTAATATAGATATGTCTTATATGCTACGCCATTAGGATTATAAGGAAATTAAGAGAAGGAACGATATTACATATAACTCGTACAAAAATCACGGGAAGAGGAATTCATTATAAAAGAAAGCTTACTGGCCGGAGAAAAGGAGAAAAGGAGGCTAGAGCGAAGCGTGGGCTGGAAGTTTCGGTATTCCTGCTTAGGTGAGAACGCGTGACCAGGAATTTTAACAGGTGGTCCGACCGTACGACAATGTTATATAGATGTCTTGGTAATGGCAGAATATATAGGGGGTGACCTTGATTTCTTGAGACCCCCTTCCGTACGGTAAGCAATGCCTCAAGCTCTTACGGTTAGTTGCCTCATGTATTCCACGCTTCCCTAATACATTCCGACCCACCGCTCCGAAGAAAACTCAAATTCCGAACTCCGTACCTGAAGACTAGATATTTAGAGAGTGAGTAGACACTAGCCGGGATTAAATGTGACGTCTGTAGAAATTTAACATGGAAATGTTTTGACTTTTGATTTTTGATGCATATCGCGATGCTCCGGAGACAATTCTCCTAGCGGAGGTTTTTCTTTTACGCAACTTCTGACGCAACTTCGCGGTAACGCAGCTTTCGATCCAATCTGCCGGTCTCATGCTGGCGCTCTGCCACCGCCGCGAAGTGCCTCGACGGCACCGACTCCGGGTCGACCTCCCATGCCGGCCTCTCGTAAAGGAGGGATCACCCGATCTCGAGCCATTCCCTCTCGTCCTCGCCAAGACCCAGTGCCCCGTCTACATTGGCGACGAATCAAAGAGCTACGAGGAGCGGATGGGGTGCTTTTGCCGCGTTTCTAAGATGAGGGATCACGTCGAACGTACCAGAGGAGAAAATCTCCTGTCGCCACCCCGTGTGCCAGTCTCAAGGGCTCGTCCTCAAACACTTGCAGCATTTCAAAAGTCACGTACAGACCGTCCACGGTATCAGCCTTCGAAAGTGAGAGAATCTCCTCGTCATTTCATCTTGCTACTTTCCTCTTCGAGCTTCTCCTATCAGCAGATTTTCCACTATCAAAGGAGCAACTAGTAAGTAGACCTCCGGGCAGACGAGCCAAGCTAAATCTGTCTCAGATGTGTTTATATCCTGTCCCTAATATTCTACCTCCATATAATATCGATATCGCTCCGCATCTCAACCCCTCAACCCGCGATTCCGACATCAAATCCACATTAATCAAACAATTAGGAGACAAGGGTTCTGGCGTCTAGGGAATGCGGTTGTGGCTGTAACCTCGTAAGGCACCTCTCCAATACGGGGTGTGCTTTTCGGGGATTCTCAAGCATCGCTACACCGGATATATTGTTCCCATTATGGTGAAGATCCTCATCTGTGGTTGTATAGTCATTAATAATGTAAATTTTTATTTCAGTTCATTTTTGGTAATAAATCTACTTTCCCGTTGAGTTTTTCTGGATAGGTTTAAGAGAGATGGGAAGTCGCTGCCGAAGATAAATAGCGAAACACAGCTACATTCATGCGATACCCCACGAATCCAAAGGATGATACTGCCGTAGGTTCTCTTCATGATCATCCAAGACTTCTGTCCTAGATGGTTCACTTCTCATTCTCACTCAGCAACGATGTGGAGAGAATTATGAAAGCGTTCAATGATTGAAATACTCTTCTAAGCCCTCTCGAATGAAATTACATATGCGAGGAAACAAATACACCCGAGCAGCCGAGTACTCGAACATACGCTTGTAGCGCAACTAAAAAAAGCTCACTAAAAACCCCAATGTGCCAACAATCATCATTATCCGCTCAACTCTCGTGATCATCGTGCCGGAGCTGCTCTGTGTAGTTGAAGGGCTTGAAGATGTGGACGAAGTAGATACAGTGGCTGCACCAGTATTTGACGTCCTCGTAGCACTCGACGTCGAGTTGGTGGTCATTGTTGAATTTCCGGTTGCATTTGGCGTGCTCACCAGAAACCAGTCGGCCGCGACTGATGCACCCAAACCCGTCTTAGCCACGAAATTTGTAAGATTGAAGCCGACACGGTTGAGTACCGAGGATCCCGGAGTAGTCAAGTTGTTGAAGAAAGGGATATACTCTGCTGGAACTGCGAAGTTTGCGGGTTCGTTGTAGAGAAAAATACCGTATGTATGTGTCTGCCCAGCTGGTGGGCCAAGAGGAAAGTATGGCGCGATTGCTGCTTGGTGGGAAGTCAAAGTCGTGGTTCCATTAGAAGAAAGACCAGCTAGGGTCCAGTGCAGCAGAGTGGTGTTCGACTGAGTGGACCCGTTGGTCTCAACACTGAAGTCCATCATGATTGCGACGTAGGTAGAGTATGTTCCTGCTAAACCAAGACTTGGGGCGTCTACTACCTCTATTGAAATTTGGTGTCAGTTATTGAGAGAGGCCATGATGTGACAAATGAACTGACCATTTCCTAGGACAGTAATTCCAGCGGGGTTTATTGCAGCTGTCCCATAGGTAACCGTCAGGTGGCTCGAAGTGGCTGGCTCGAAGCCTGGAGGGGTTTGAGCAAAGGCTGTTCGAAGGGTATATGCTGCAGTCAAAGTCGCGAGCAAAGATGAATGGCCAAAAACGATTGTATGCATCCTTAAAATTGCAGGGAAGTCTTCTAGGTGAAGATATGGAAATCAATAGAGAATATATGATCGAAGGATACAAATTCGAGTTTTGATAATCGAAGGCGATGGTGGATTGTTGTAAACCTAAAAACAATGAAAGGAGTATCAATGTATATATAGCACGGGAAATGATCTTACAAATCAATCATAATATCCTCGCAGACTAGAGAAACGGGATGTGACTTGGAAATCGGAAGAGCAGCTTTGTCGAATGAATTATTCTCTCGTACGGCGGGAACAACGCGCCAGGATTAAGTCTTAGCCTCAAACGTTGCGAAGCCAGTGAGGATGGCCACACTAATCTGTGTTTGGTATGTGCTCTACAGCTAATCGAAAATTAATAATCAGACATGAGACCTCGCCAATCCAACCAATTTCCTGGGCAGCTGCCGTTCAGCCCACTCCAGAATTAGCGACACCATGCTGACTTCGGGTCCGATACCTGTCAGCAAAGCAGCTGGTGAATATTACGTGGGGAATGTTGCCTAACTAAGCCCCGTTCCGAACAATTCGTTCCATACCACTACAGGAAGAAGCACATGCCCTTTTCGTGAGATGCTCAACTGACTGAGGTTCCACACGGAGCTGCTGGACTGTGGTAAGCTTTGCAATCACCTGTCCCGACTCGTTTCGGAGTCTGCAGCCACAAGATTGAGCGACGTGCAGGCTCTGTCAACAGCGGAACCCCTTACCAGTGATAAATGTAAAGGCCACTAACAAATTATAGCTACCTAGAACAGAATATCGAAGTGAGATTATGGACGGGCCGCCTCCGGAATACCGTTTTGTCCAACAGTTCGGCCGCAAGGTAGAAAAATCGTCACATACTGCCATTCGATCTCACGCCATGAAAGGGGTTCGGAAAAAGCAGCGCCAACAGAAACAACTAGAAATTGTGCGAAGTGGCCAGCAATCTGTCGTGAAGAATGATATCGGCCTACGTCATTGCTCGCCTCTAACCCAGCTTTCTTCAGCTTCTTCCGAACAGTACTCACAAATAGGAAAATGCGATATACCTCCAACCCACTTCACACCTGCTTCCGAGCCCAGCCATCTCTGTGGTAAGGTGAAATCACTGGGAATGTCTCCATCGCAACGAATGAACATTGCACAGCAACTCTCCTCTCCGAAAGCTACTCTTGCCGCAACCGACTTTGATCCTTTCAACTCAATTACTGAGCTTCATCCATCTCTGACTTCAAAATTCTCCAACGAGATTAATGTCATTAAAGCGCACGGTTCGTACATATCATTTTACTCAAGTCAACTTCGTTCCAGTCATGTTGCAGATTCTTCACAGGCATTTCTTTTACTTCACTCGTCATCTAGTCTAACCTTCTAACACCTGCTCACTACTCCCTAACCCACATCATCTTCAGCTATTGCCTTCTGCTCTCCGGGTACTATTAAGTCGGCCGTCCTCCCTGAAGCTTTTCGAACACCAGGTCTGTTGGCGAGCATACTGTACATGACGTACTCATACCTCCGTTCTGAGAGGGGATGGAGTAATCCAGAGTTAGCTTTGGGTTTGAAAATGGCTGCGATATCACAAATAAACCTCAAGCTGTCTCATCCAAGCACAGCAACGTGTACCAACGTGATCGCCTCGATTGCGTATCTCTGCACTGGCACCTGGGTATGGATTTTAAACAGCAGAGATTTTTGTTAAGTAGTAATGCTAATGTTTGAGGCAGATCTTTGGCAGCCATTTTGAAGAAGTCGAAACTCATCTGGATGGCTTGGGGATAATGGTTAAACAACGTGGCATGGAAAGCCTTGGCGTGTACCAATTTGGCCGCACCATCCGAAAGTATATTTTTGTGTACGGCCCCATTTTTCTCAACTTATCTAAAGAGAGTCTTCTAACTCAACCCTTATTTAAAAGGCAGCATCTCCTTCTAGCAGCAATTCGGGCGCAGCCTCCCACATCCACATTTGACCTTGATTATAACCGGTTGTTTAATTCTGCCTCGGTGAAGGATACGAAACATGTGTCACCATTATACTGTCCTCAAGAGACATTTGCCCAACTTCTTCAATCCAAACAATTCAGCGAGGATACAGTGGATATTCTGTATAATGCCAAGGCTCTTATCGACTTGGTGATTGACGTAGATGAAGGTACAATCAAAGAAGTGGACTTCAACATCACACTCTTCCATATTAAGAATGAACTAGAGCGTCACATTTCAGCAGACGATCCCCAAGGCATCCCTGACTGCAATTGGGTCTTCGAATGCTGTCGCCTGACGGTGGCGATCATGCTGAAGGCTATGGAGACATCACAGCCCCTCCTTTCAAGCAGTTCGGCGCTCACGCATAGTTTGGTCAGCGCACTAGAAAAGACAGATATTGGGGGCAATTGGGGAGAGCTATCAGGTGTGCTGTATTGGGTATCAATGATTGGATCCGCATCTAGTCAGGGAAGGCCAGGTCACAGAGTGTTGGACTCCGCACTGGGTCGCACAATGTCCGAGATAGCTTTTACGGCCTCGGATTTTGGTTCCGCAGTCGAGCCTGTACGAAAATTCTCTCGTTTACAGCTGGCTTTGAAGAGAAGATCTCAGGTAGCGGTTCCAGAAAATTCTCATAGGAAGTATTGAGCAACGCTTGACTACAGCACCTTTGATGTAACAAGTCGGCTGTTAATGGCTATGGGATTCTTACAGCAGCGAAAATAGCAATACAATAACAGAGTCCGCGAAATTGGGCCTTTAATGGTCTGTTATTGGTGTCCGTAGAGTTGTGCTCGAAATGTAAGCTCTTGCCTCTCAAATCCAGCTCCTATCCAACCAGTCCCTGGAGGCGATGCATGGTGTCAGCCTTCGAGAGTGAGAGAATCTCCTCTCATTTATCGCTTAGCTATACCTATTTACTGTCTAATTCAACATCTTCCAGGGGCAGATCAGTTGGACATGCTGGATTTGCAACCACCCCGGCTTCCAGAACTACAAACACGAAAGGTTACAGTGTGTCAAAAAAGTATTCAAGGTATTTAAAATATTCATGAATATTCATAAATATTTTGAATAGAATATGAGTAGCGTAATGCTCAAATAATTTGAGTAGAGTAAAATATATATTCATGAATATTTATATATACTAGTGATTATCCGTTATATAACTATAGCAAATTACTATTAAGTTAATAATTATTAAATAACTAAGGCACTTATTAATTAAAATACTTTAAGCTAAGCTAGTACTTATAAAATCCTAGCTAAATATCGAATATATATAATAATAAACTAGTTATTCTTTCTTTTTATTATTAAGCTTTAATTTACTTATTAAATATTATTATTAATTAACTAAATAGTAAAATGAAACTAGATCTAGAGCAAGCGGAAGCTTTATCTAATAAGGCTAGCTTGTTATATATTTAATTACAAATATATTATTTAAAGTATTTATAAATACTTTAATTAAAATATAAGTAAAATATAAGAAAAATATAAGTAATAATTATTATTTTACTTTATTTCATTTATTTAATATATTATATGTAATATTTTTTTCTTTTAATATAGTCTTACTTAATTCTACTCTTATTATAGCTATATTTATAATAAACTTGCTCTTTCTTTTTCTTTTTCTTTTTTTTTCTTTTGCTTTTTTTATTTTATTTATATTTCTTGCCTTTATATTTCTTATAATTGTTTTTATTAAAAGAAACTCAAATTCTAAATTAAGGAGCAAGAATAAAGAATTACGAAAGAACTTAATAAAAGAAAAGTAATAATATAACTTATAAAGAACTTCGAGAATTAGTAATTTCTTTAAGAAAGAGTTTTGAAATTTAATATTTTCTTTTAGATAAAAGTATAATAAAAGTATACTTAAGTAATATTATATTAAAATAATTTAATTATAAGTAATTTAAGTAATTTATTATTAAATATAATTAAAGAATAATAGAGATTTAGTAATATTACAAGCTTTATATCTTATATAATCTTTTAATAAAATATTTTAGTATATTTTCGATTTATTATTTATTATTAAAAATAAGTAATTTAATATAATTATATTAGGCAAATTATATTAAAATATTTAAATAAAGTAAAATATATAAAAAATATAAAACATTTAAGCTAATTAGTAATTATAGGATTTATAATAATAATAATATTATATTTTAAGAAAAATTTAGCTTAAAGCTTAAACTTTTCTAATTAGTAAAGTTATTTTTATTATAATAATTATAGTTTTATAATTATTTACTAATTTAAATTAAAGATATTAGAATATATTTATTAGTAATAACTTTATTTTTATATAATCTAAAGAAATTATTAATAATACTTTAAAAACTATAAGATTAATATTAGGCTAAGTAAAATTACTAAATTAAAAAATAATATTCCGACTTTATTTTATAAAACAAATATTTTAAAAAAAAAATTGTTCTCGAATTTATTTCCTTAGTTTTATTTAGCTTTTTATTTCTAAACCTCTTTAGTAAATATTTAAAAAATACTAATTTCCTTAAATTTTATTATATTAGTTTTATTTAGCCTTTTACTTTTAAATTTCTTTAATAAATATTTAAAATATATTAAATTTCTTTATTTTTGTAATATTAGTTTTATTTATTATTTTACTTTTCAATTATTTTTCTTTTTATAAATTATATTTATAATAAATTTAATTAAAACTTTTCTAATATTTACTAGTTTTTTATTATATATAAAAGAGTTATTAGAAGTATTCTAGTTTTAGAATTCTATAATATAACTTATAGCTTTAAGAAATACTTTAATTAATTCTATAATTAATAAAATACTAAAAATAGAACTATTATTAATTATCTATATAAATTCAAAATTATTATATAAATATTGAATTAAATTAAATATTATTTAAAAGAAATATCTAATAATTAATATAATATATTTTTATTAAATATATAAATAATAAGAGATTATAAAAATTAGATAAATTAAAAAAGAATTTTATTTTATTAATTTTATTAATTTTATTATAAAATCGAAACTATTAAATACTTTTAAATATCTAATTAATATAAATATAATATAATTAGATATAAAGAAATAAATTAAATATATAAAATAAGAATATAAATAGAAAAATATATATAAATATATAAAGTATTTGAGAAAATTAGTATATAATTAGAAAGAAATACTATTTTTTATATTTTTAAAAAAGTTCTAATATTAGTATAATTATTTCTTTAGAAATTATATATATAGTTACGAGACTTGAAATATAAAATATAAATAATAAGATATAAATAACAAGATATAAAATATAAGATATAGTTATATAATCTTATATTTTATAAATATTTTAACTAGTAATTAGTTTCTATTAGGCTTAATAGATTTAAAAACTATATATTAATATTATAATATTAGTCTCACGTAACTTATATTTATTTAGTTTACTAAATATATTCGAGCTTTTAGCTTTCTATTATTAAATATATTATAATATATTTTTATTTTTATTTTTAAATATTAATTACTTTACTAATCTCAATATATTATATAATAATATTATATATTACTAGTAAACTAATATTAAATTATTTAATAAATAATACAAATTCGTTGTTTTTTTTAAAAAAAAAATAGAAATAAAAATAAAAAAGTAATTATTATATTCTTATAATTAATTAGGAATTATATTATCTTAAGCTATTAATATATATAATTATTAATATAATTCGAAATTCTAATAAGCTAGCTATTAAAAGTAATAGTAATTAATTTACTATTATATAATAACTATAAGCTAGTTATATATATTTAGCTTATATAATTATATTAGAATATAACCGGATTTAATATAATAAGTAGTTGTAATACCTTTTGATCTGAGCTCTTAATTAAGTGTCCTTTTAATTAATAAATAAATTCTCAATTATTACTATCCGTATAATAATTACTATTGTCTGAATCAGAGTCCTCGCCCGTTATAGCGACCGATACTGCCCTCCCGATACTTCCGTACCATATAAACGATTGTTAAATTGGAATATGGCTTATACAGATATTGCAATAGCCCCTTCTTGTCCTGGACCAGTCCTGGACTAGTCCTGGACAAATGTCTTCGTTAATTAATCGTGGATACTGTTTGCGAAGCCCTTGACGATTACCTCCGCAATGGCCGTTAATTAGTGACGCCATTGACCCCTTCTCTGGCCCCTGCAGAGCCTTTATCGCCTCCCAAAGAGCTTCTATCGCCTTGCTCTTCTGCGATCGAACCTCCTGCCGATAAATCGAGCTCTGGCGGCGTCGACTGCTCTCCTATTAACAAGCCCTCTCCTCAACCTGACGTCCCTATATACTCTGTATAGCCTCGACTGCCCTCCTGCCGCCTTCGTATATGTTGAACTAGCTTAATAAAGCTAAGGATCACGTGCTTGCAATGTAAACCAAGTAAAACGTACTGAATTGACTGCTGTTCTATAGTAGTAAGTAGCCTGTATATATAGCCCTGAACCCCCTAAGTCACATGCACTAAACCCCTAAACCAGAGAGCCTTATACTGAACCATTTAACCTCAGCTAAACCGATTTAGTCTTATAGGGCATAATCTACTTAGTAATAAGCCTATGGCTTAAGCCTATTGGTATATAGCCCTAAGGCTCCGTTCCAGGGCTTACTAAGCCTATTAGGGGCCTCAGGCCCCTAATTTCAATAGTATATAGACGACCCCTCCCCTCTTCTCTTATATTCCTAGTACTTCGATTTTATATATATTATAGTACTTGGACAGGCCTTAAGCTCCTGGGAGCTTAATTATTAGCCTTAGACTAGCTAGCTTAGTAAACTTTAGAAATACTAGCTAAGACTATATTTTTGGACAAATTAGTTATTGAGAATACTAGCAGGTATCTCTTTTAGGCAGGCATATATTATATAGTAACTATAGGCTAGTTATATATACTTGGCTCACGTGACTATACTTACTATATTTAGTATTAACTATCTATATTATATCTCTCTTCTTCTATAATCTAATTATATTATAATATAACTATATTTAATATAATATTTACTATTTAATTTTTAATTTAGTTATATAAAAAAATATATATATTTAAAGAGAAATAAGTATATTAAATAGAAATATTAATAAGAAAATATATATAAAGTATTTAAAAAGTTTAATATTAAATCAAATTAGAAAATTGTTATATAATTAGAAATAAATACTATTTTTATATTAGTTTTTCGAGTTTTTAAAAAGGCTCTAATATTAGTATAACTAATTTCTTATAAATTATATAATTATATTATATAATTTTAAATAATAAAATATATTATATATTACTATTAATTAAGCTTAATACTATAATACTATAATTCCTATTTATAAAATATAATAATATTATATATTATATAATAATATTATATATTATATAATAATATTATATATTATATATTATATAATAATATTATATATTACTAATAATTTAATATTATTAATTACTAGAAGTTTTAGTTTTAAATAATAAATAAATTAGTAAATTCTAGGGAGCTATTTATTATTTAAAGACTACTAGTATTAAAATTAATTTAATTTAATAAATAGATCTCTTTTAAGAGGTTAAAGGTAGTTTATATATGGCCTGCCATATATGCTGTATTGGCTAGTCCGAGTGGTTGGCCCGTGAATGCTTACATCACGTGACTCATGTATGCTAGCGAACTAAACTGAATTAGGTTTAGTGAATTTGGCGTTTTAGGCCGCTATGCTGCCCAAGTCAACGACTGTTTGCAAGAAACAAATTCACACGCTACAGTACTCTTGCAGAATTATACGAAACTTTGTATTTTTAGGGGTGCTGCTCATCAATGGCCATGCCGGTCCTCCAGAAAATAGACCCTTCCTCTTACATTGGCCAGGGCCTCAGTGGCCCGGCATACGTTACCGAAATGTCGGAGGTTGAAGCATCCATATGTACACCACCATGCGAATGCACGGACTGCCAACATAGCTTCTACGCTTCTGAGGAGCAATACCGGCCCTGCTTTTGGTATCGCGGTAGAGTTTCCGACCGTGATGCTGAGATTATCGCCGCCAGGCACATCAAGGATGCGGAGCAAGAGAGGCAGTATTTGCTGCAACGACTGGCGTCACATGCAGATACCATCGTGAATCGGTGGAAGAAGAAAAGTAGGGCGAAACGTCAGGCACTGCTAGCAGGAGCTATCCCAGAACTTTACGAGCACCGATGGCTTATTCCCCGCTATTCCTATATGCCTGAGAGCAAACGTGGTGGATTAGAGGGTAGGAATTGGGCTCGTCGGTGTCAGCTCTTACTACCTTGGTTAAGTTTGGAGGTGCTCAAGATGAATCCCGCGGTTTTTTTTGCCTTGTTGCATAATCGGACGGCGTATCCCCCACAGGACTGGGCAACGTTCGATGGCAGACAGTTGATCCTCAGTTGGGCCTGCGGACACTTTGATGTCGAATACTCAGGGAAGTGCGTCATCATGTATGGTCCAAGATACGGAGAGCTGGTAGACTGGCAAGCTAGTTCAGCTCACAGGGCAGACATAGTCGGCTTCCCTAAGGCACGTCTTATTCTCGAAGGGCAGGCATACCTTATGGTCGTCCTTCGCAAAATCGTGGACGAGATACTTGAAGGGGTTAACTTGAACCAGCCAACTACCTCAGAAAAGTGGAAACTGATGACCAAACTTGGCTTCAGCCACACTAATGAGGTGGAGTTATGGTCACCGTATACGAATCAAGCATTCTCTGCGCCGCCGGTTTTCTCTATCGATAATTTGATCTCTATAGTTCAGATCAGATTAGAAGCTGTGGGAGACCATTTATGTTTTTTACAAACCGAGCCAGCTTATATGCGGCGAAATATCAAGGCCCACCGTCAGGGAGAATTTCATAAGGCGATTAAAAAAGATGCGGCAGGCGCAATAGTAACTACGGAGATCTTTCGCGACATTTTATCTTATTGGCGGTGGGACTGGATTAAAACCGAGTGCGAATACGTAAAGAGCATCCATGATCGTTTCCGAGACAGTATTCACCCAGGCGAATGCCTCCCTTCTGTGTACGACAGAGCATTGGGCGCACTTGAGCTCCTTCTGGTAAATGAAGTTATTGACCGAGCTAGGCACATTGGGAAAGTAACGCCCCAACGACCTGGATTTTCCCAAAACTGGAATTTCCAATGGCAACCTGCCAATGGGCCGACGGCGTTCAAGGTTGACCGCAAAAGAGGGGTACCTGTGGAGCAGAAAGATTGTTTCGATAAAGACCGTTTGGAGTGGTGCTTAATTCAGATGCAGGGAGAACCGGATAAGCAAACAAACTACGACCATGCGATGTTATTCGCCTTGCTTGAAAATCATCTTGCTGCAAGCAACCCCAAAGAAAAGGCCCGTGTGGACGAGATTTTGTATCAGAAACTGTCTGATTTAGAAGCTTGCCATGAGATGCTGGTGTCTGTCCGCTTACACAGACCCCAAAATATAGCCAGAGAGATTGATGAGGTGGAGCGATCAGAGAATCGAGTGGCTTGGAAAGGGCGGAAGATACCCGGGTATCTCACACAGGATGATTGCATCCGTCTAGGGACAGCACTTCTTGAAAATTTCTATGAGGCTCCTTCGCCAAGTGGACAGAAGAATTCACTCTGGATTAGCCGCTCTCAATTTATCCGCAAGGCGCTTGAAGCTTTCTGGAGTGGTCTGAGAAAGAACCCTAAGAAAGTGCTGGAGGCATCGGGTTTCAGTGCAGAGGAAGTCCATGCAAGTATGGAGGTCATCTCAAGCAATCTCACCCAGGAATATCTTGATTCAGTTCAAGCTGAGCAGCAAAGAATTTTAGCCAGCATCGAAAGCACCCGTGTGCCGGCCGCAGTCCCTGCACAGAAGGAGTGGGGTTCTGACACCACGACACAACATGCCGCGCCCTTGCCAAAAGCTAAAGGCAAGACACGACCCGCTGAGCAAGTTAGAGGGGTGGAAGAGATTGACCGTGCGGTGGCTGGCATAACAGTCAACTCTAGCCAAGACAGGACTCCCAAACTACAGGTGAAAAAGCGCGCTTATGATATGCTAAGCCTGATGTTTCCTGCCACTGCCGAGGAATCTGCCAAAAGTATAGAATGGAGTACGTTTGTACATGCAATGTCAGACATGGGCTTTTTGGCCAGAAACGGCGGGGGTTCCGCCGTACTGTTCGAGAGTAGGGATTTGGCGGAGGGAGGAGCTACTGGTGGCAAAATTATTTTTCACAAACCGCATCCTATTCCAAAGATAGATTCTATCATATTGCATTCTATGGGGAAGAGAATGAGTAAGTGGTTTGGCTGGCACAGAGAACTTTTTGTTTTGGAATTATGAGACTGTTTCCGTCTTTAGATGAATTGTTGAGTTGGTGGTACACTAGCTTGGCTAGCCTACCATTCCTTCCAGCACCAGGTTCAACAACTAATTTAAGTCTTCTCCACTCTCATTCGTAATGCGTCACTTGCGGAGCTTATTAAACGCTCGCTAATATATAGTCATCTGCTTTATTAGCTGATTATAATATATCAGAGAAAGCGTGCTTGAAACCACCCATATCGTTAAAGGCTAATAGGGATAAGGACAATGCTTTGAACTCCTTTCTCTCTCTTTTTACACTTCACTCTGCTTATACTTAGTTATCTAGGCCTTATGAATTATTAATATTATCGGTTTTGCACCTCTATATCATTCCCTTTCCAATATGAATTCCGGGTTGACTTCGTCTGTTTAATCCTCTATATACCTTATAAGGAAAGTGCTATAATGCGTGAGAAATTAGTATTCGTCATGGGAATGAGACAATTCTCATAGTTTTACCCGGAGAGGCTTTACTAGGCTCACTATAGAGAACCTCTTTCCAGAGTCTAATTATATAATCAACTTATACTATAATAGCTTACTAGTATTTCAAGAGGGAGATTGTATTAATCTCAACGTTTACTTCCTAAGAAATTTGATAATTTGCTACCTGAAGTTAGTCCCAGGGTCTTTCAGGTATGTCAGATACTTGCCAAACATCTCATTCACGTGACTATTATAAGTTCTAAATACGCAAGCTCATATTTATGAGAAGAGAGAACCATAGAAAAACAAAGTTATATATTTGGACTTTCTTAAACATAAGTGAGAGGGCTAAGAAGTAATAGATATGTAACAAAGAATACACACTGCCACCACTCATTTATAGCCAATTACCTAACAACGGATGGAGAAAAAGAAGAAAGGTAGTCTCAAGCTGTATAGCCATGCGCTCCTAGTACAGCCCGGCAGATGCGCTCAGCGTGATTTAGGAGATGCTGTTTATGCTGCAGCCCCATTTGACAGACCTTGCACTCGAACCGATCTCCTTCTTGGATGTGGGCCAAATGCTTCCGTTTGAAGTGCTTTGTCAAGTCTCCCAGACTAGCAAACTTGAAGGTATGTTTTGAAACGGTAAGCTCTGCTCCTATAAGGAGAGGAAATAGGTGGTGATTCTCTTCTTTATAAATACTAATACCATAGCGTCACTTAACGCTTGCTTCTCGGCCTCGACGGCTGCTAGCTTCACGACCTTGAACCCGAGCAAAAGAGCGCGGACATGCTGAGAGTATCTGATTTCGTCATTCCTTTCCTGGCACATTTGTGCCACACTGCGCGAGACCGGCAAGCCATCGCCTCATACTTTCTCTTGCAGCATTGCTGTTGTCTGGATGCATGATATAATCAAGTACATACTGGGAGGTTGTTGGATCTCCAACCGAGAGCTTTTCATGCTCGCTGACAGTTAATAGGCATCCAGGACAATATACGTGTCCTCCACCCAAAACCTGTGTAAAAGAAAGTTGAAAAGGAGACTTTGTAAATTAGAAAATGAACTCTGCGACTGTTCTTATGAGACGTCACATTTTTTAAGTGTTAACGAGGAGAAATGGCACCAGTGTGGGAGGCTTAGTTTATATTGAATTCCAGATCCTATTACTTCTCAGCTTCCAAATCCCCGTTGTCAGCTTCTCCTGCCCTGCAATATCCTCTTCAAGAAATAACTTGTCCCTGTGAAAAGCAATCAGCGATCACACGACCGGAGTTCCGTGGAGCGCAACTTCGGCCTCCAGCCTGTCATGCTCTTTCTGAGCCTTCTTAATATTAAGAAACATCTTGACCGGCTTAATACCGGATGTCTCGAAAACAAAGTCAATTTCCTCAAGAAATAGTATAGAAGTTTCTGGAAAGTAGAAATAAGAGAAATCAAATCAAATAATATTATATATAATATATATAACCTAGAGTTTATATTTAATCTTCTTAAAGCTTGTTATAATACCGTATTATTAAACTATACCTGTAGTACTTTAAATAAAACTATATAATTTTATATTCTTAGCTTATAAAAAGAGGAAAATGATTTTAATAAAATAAATATTATATATTATAGTAATGAATATTACTAAATAGGCTTGGAAAATAAAGAAGAAAAAGATAATTAGGGTAATAGTAAATCTAGAAAATATTAATTAATATATTTGCTTTTATTAAGCTTTAAAATTTTTTTATTAAATAAAGTAATTTTTATTTGCTTTTATAAAGAATATATTATTAAAATAAAATTATAATAGTAGTTTATATTAAAATAATATAACTAATGCTAATAAATATTAAGTGCCGTTTTTATATTTTATTAATAATAAATATTAAGCTATATTTATATATTTATATAAATAATAATTTAAAAAAAAGCTAGAGATCTAAATATAATACTAAAGATATATTTTTTAAAATTAAATAACTTAGTAATAAGTTTATAACTAAAGAAATATTATATATATTAAACAAGAATTAAACTAAAAAAGCTATTTTTTATAATAATAAATATAATATTAATTATTTTATATATTAAACTAAGATATTATTAAAGATTAGTTTAAATTTCTTATTAATTTTTAAAACCCGAATTCGGTTCTTTTAGAAATTAGTATAATTAATAAAATATAACTTATTTAATTAATAATTTTGCTATTATTTCATAATTAAAAAAAAGTAAATAATAAAAACTTTAATTTTAGATATTAATAGCGCCTATAACTAAATCTTTTATTTATTATATTATAGCTTTAATAAGTAAGTAATTTATATTATTTCATTTAATATAATAATAAGTTATTATTATAAAATGGTCTTTATTTTTTTATATAAAAAACTAAATAATAAAGTAATTTAAAGAATATAAAATAAAATATATTATATATAATAATAAACAAGAACTTTTTAAAAAGCTTTTTAAATAATATTAGTATTTTTATTTCCTAATTTATTTTACATAAAGGTAATTTGGTTTTCTTATAATAGAATTTTTTAGTTCTAATTTTTTAGTTCTAATTTTTTATTATTATATTTAAGCTAATTAAGCCGGCTAATATTTATTATTTTATTAGTAATACTTTTTTAAAGAACTTTTAATAATACTTATAAAGATAAATCTAAACTAAAAACAAGTATTAAATAACTTTATAAGTTAATTATAAAGATATATTAAAGTAATTTCTCTAATATATTAAGGCTATAATATCAGAATTAAGCCAATCCCTAAAAAGAAATATCTAGTCTATATAATAATTAAAACTACTTTTTCAAATATAATAAAAAAGTACTAATAAAAGAAAATTATTATAAATATTAATATATTAGTTAAAAACATTTATATGAATACTAATATAAATATTATTTTAATATTAATATTTTGTAAAGCTTTTTTAAAATAGGGGCTTATTAGTAAAGTTATTTATAAAAATAATATTTTATTAACTAATAATATTACTTAGAAATAAATAAGTAAATAGTAAACTCTAGAATATATTTTTAAAGCTTAAAAGATTCTCTAGTTTACTAATATATATAAACCTTATAATTATAAGAATATTAAAAATTATAATAATAAATTCTATATCTTTAAAAATCAAAATCTTATATTAAATCTAATTATTTATTAGACAAATTCTCAAGTTTGTTTTAAATAAAAACCAGACTTATTAAATAAAAAACATTAAATATTAGGCTTATAAACTTATAGCAAAATTATTAATATTTTTTACTATAGTCTAATCTATATTATAACTTATAATAGAGCTAGTTTATAAAGCTTACTAGTTTTATTAATTCTAATATTTCAAAAAATTAAATAAACTAGATTAGATATTATAATAATTTATATAAGTATATAAACCTTAAATAATTTATTAAACTAATTAAAGATCTAGAATATATAATATATAATTATTAGATAATTAAATCCTTAAATAAAAGAATATAATATTAGGCTATTAGAGGGCTATTTTTATTATTAAATAAAGTAGAATAACCTAAAGTTAATAAAAATAAGCTAAGAAAATACTAATTAGAATATTAATTAAAAGCTATTTACTATTATTTTAAAATAAAGGCTCTTAAATAAAAATATTAAAAATCTGGCTTTTTCTTTAAATTTATTTTATTCTATAAGAAAGTAATAAAGTTTATTACTTTTTTTTAATTTTTTTTTATAATACTAATTAAGGGCTATTTAAATATTACTTATTATAATTCAGGTTTTAATATTCTAATTATCTAATATAGTTATCTAAGAACTAGTATAAGAATATATATAAAGATATTTAGAATACTAGGCTTCTTAAGAACTAGTATATTACAAATATATTTTACTCTTATAGCCTTCTACATTTTAGCCTTCCCTTTCTTAGCTTTAAATCGTTTTTATAAGAAATCTTTTATTTTGCTTTCTAAGCTCTAAATATTATACTCGTAATATTACTTTTAATTCTTAAATAAAAGATATTAAAAAATAAGCTTAAAAAAGCTTGGAAATTTAGTAAAATAAATTCCTAAAACTAGATATAAAAGCCCTAAAAGCCCCTAATTTATAGGGTCTTATAAGACTTAAAACTAGAACTTAATTAATTAATATAATAATTTCTTTAAATTAAAATTTTATTTCAAGAATTTTTTTTATTATAAATTAAAAAGTATATAAATATATTATAAGCCTTATAATATACTAGCTTATATTTATTATATTAAAAAATCTAATTTAAGGTTTCTACTAGTCGGATTTAATATTATAACTAAAGGGGCTCTATTCTTTAATTAAAGAAAGCGAGTTGGCTTATAAAAGCAAAATAACTCAAAATCTTAATTTTTTTAAATAGTTTTAAGTAATAGAATTAAAAATATAAGCTTTATAAACCAGATACAATTCTCTAAATCTAAATATATATATATATGAATAGAAAGGTATTAAAGTTTTAAAAATAAAATTATTAGAAATATTAAAAATAATAATTATTTATTTATAATTCCTTTATAAGTATTATATTTACGACTTTTGCCTTAATTATAAAATCTTATCTTTTTTACTTGAAACTTTAGCTCTTAAGTATGCAATAAGTAATTATAAGATCGCGAAGAAAACATATTAATTAGATTTCCTATATCTAGTTTCTAATAATTTTTTTAGAAGGCAAAAAAGGCCGAAACGGCTATCTCGCTTTCCCCGACTAAAGGGTGGGCCCCTTTAGTCGCGACGTTAAGTCCGACTATTGAACGCCCTGGCCCCTAATCGACACCCCAATCGACTTTTTACATTTCCCCCCTGAAACCCCAATTATGCCAATGACTTGTACAGCATTGGAGTCCGCGTTGGCATCTACGCACAAACTATAGGCATGCTTTTACCCACCGCCTGCTTCAATGTTAGAGGCATCAAAATCGCTTTGCTCCTCAACTCTAGTCGGACTACTCTCTTCTCGGTCAGTTCTTGCCCGCCACAATGAATTCAGTCCTGCCGAAGCACTCCCCGTTCAACTGCTAATAAACGTTGTTGGAGCTGCTACTATCCCCGTCATATATGTTCCCAACCCGGAAGGCGTCGTTGGAAATACGACGCTTTTATTGGCTTTATGGTGGACGGGGGTCAGCAAACTCTGGTTTTGGGCTACTTTAGCTGCCTGCTTTTGATACTAAGGGCTCAGCTTGGTTCTTCAAGAGCGTAAGGACTGATGGTTGGAAGAGGTTCTTTGAACTTGTGCCTCAGGCTATTATGGCCATCATCCTCGTTATTGCAACCCTCGCTGCCATCTCTTTCTACACAATAAGGAGAGTAAAAATTCATCGTCGCGGCACGATAGAAGTCACTGCTCAGCCTTAATATCGTCTTCTTTTGTAATATTGTAATGGGGATTTGATTATATAGGCATTGGATGCGTGAGTGGGAGTAAAGAGAGTAAGAAGCTAACTAATAGAAGTAATACTCTTAAGACTCTTAATACTAATAATAAAATAATACAAATAGTCAAAACTAAGGAGCTCTGAAAGTTAATGTATTGGGAAGTCTAATTGTATGCATGGACAGAAGTCTTATACAACCCCCTAAACTAGCGCTAGTATGCCTGGAGAGCAGGACGCGTGACAGTAGTCGCGGGACAAGAGACAAAAAATCCTACTATAGTAGTATATTAAGACGACTTGCAAAACGAAAACCTTTAGAAAACAGAGGTCCAAACCTCAAGTTCCTGTAGTATTTCCTTTGGTATTAATACTAAAGGCAGCAAGTCGCACTCTTATATATTCTTCGGCCTGGCAAGTCTCTTCCTTTATTTATAAGAAACCCTAACTAAGCATTACTAATTAAACTATCCCCTCGCGAATTTCTCCCTCTAAAACTCTATATATCCACGATATCTATATCAATAGCGTATTACTACTCCCTTTATTCAATGCATTTACACTACCGCCAGTAGCTACTCACTAGCTGGCACTGAATTGTCCGAAAATACATTAATGGTGATTTTGCCACTGCATAGAACTGAAATATGACATTACGGCTTCTTTGAGTCTCGTGAAGTGGTATTAATATAGCTATTCTAGCTTATTCAAGGTCGGCAATAAGTGAAACTAGTCTTTTAGCCAGGTGTCTGCTCCTCCAGAGGCCTCTCTTCGTCACTCGGCGTTGTAGGGAAACCGAAAAGCCAATACCTGCTGAACCGTAACAATGCGATCCCCGAAAACTTCGTCTTTTTCTCCCACAGCTTGGGCCAGGCCAGACCTCCAGCAATTTGCCAGCATCGAGTGTGGTATGAGGGGACAAAGTGAATGACAATCACAATCCCCAGAATGCTGAATACGATGATCAAGCCTATAAAAGATCCGAAGCTCGCAGGTAGGAAGGGTATGACATTTCGATCCATGGAGAATATCCCTGCGGTCAATGCTACTGGGAGAGAAGACTACGAGATTAAGAAGATGATTAGTAAAAATTAGTTTTAACAATAATTTGGTACCTTTAACTCACCATCATAATCACTGATAGCCATTTGTTGTCCTGGGTGATCTTTTGCTGGAGGATACCTACTTGGTTGTTTTCAAGGCTGAGTTGGGTTTCAAGCTGGATGGGTGGACAGGTTTGTCAGTGACCGTATGCTTCGTCTTCGAATGCTCATCTAAGAAGCAGGTGGGGTATGTAAAGTTATAAACTTACCTCTCTGGTAAAATAATCACACTGTTCCGCCAAACACTCAAGAGCCATCTTCTGCGATTCTAGTTCACCTAAGATGATTTGGATTGCGGGAATGGACCGATATCCGTTGACTGGCTTGGTCTGATCTTGGAAATAGATAGCATCTTGAAGACAAAACTTTTCACAAGCATTGACGGTTTTAGATAGCTCCATTGAGAGTTGCTTAGAGAGCATTCTGACTTGTACGATCCAATTACGAGACCTTCGAACCTTGTCATCGTGCTTCAAGGCTTCTTTGGAAGAGGGTCGCTCTCCAGAGAGGGAGAGCGAATAGTCGGGCGCCTAGTCCACTCGTTAGTTGGGAGACGGGAAATCCGACCCTTATATAACACTGATTGGTTTGCAGATGTTGATAGATACCCTATCGCTCTCTCTCAGTAGCTTTTTCATCGTTATACTGTTCTTTACATCTTGTCCGGCCGTGGTAGGAATTCTCCCACATTGCTTGTAGTCTCCCGTGCCGACGTGACGAAAAGTGGACTCACATATTCACGGATACTTTCTTTAATTTTTCTGACCAATTTCTGCCACTCACACTTGACCTGATTCAGACGAACACGAAATACCATCAGAAAATAACCTTTGGGGTTCCAAATTGGCGTATCTGCAGCGGAAGTGCCCAATGCCAAAGGGTCCATGAGCATGCCTCCTTCCACATCCAGACTATCTTCATGGTAAGACGTAACGGTTTCCTTCCCTTCTCCGTCAACGTCGAAGTAGTTATCGACAAAGCCATACGCAGTCCACCTAGTCTCGTCCGTTCCGACAACTAGACTGGAAATTTGAGCCTCGTAGAGAAAACTAGACGGGCCGCTGCTTGTCCAATCAAGGAAGGAAACGTCGCGGGATTGCCGCAAGGGGCGTCCATTAGCATCTCGGCGATGATCCTCGCGTGTCTTCGGGGATTCTCTCCATACATAGTATGGCAAGTGAAATGCTAGTTGAAATATCGCTATCCCTTTGGGCGGAAAGGTTACCCCAATAAAGTTCTCAAACCCGAGGTGGTTGTAAATAGCAGTGCGAAGGCTTGGGGTTTGCCAGTCCGATGATGTCCCTAGGAGAGAATAGATGCTCCAACGATCTAAAGCAGTGATGAATCTACAATCAGTTAGCGTTCGACATAAGATGAAGATGGGCAACGCTGGTGTTCACTCGCATTAACCGGCGGTCGGCGTCTGGCACCTCTTCTTCTCCCCTTTCGCTTACTCCTTTCTGTTTTTGATTTTCACTCGGGGCGGACTCTGTTAGATTCCCCGGACTAACGATTACCCCCGGTTTGACGTTAACTGTAGTGTCGTAACTGAGGGGAGGGCTGGAATCACCACAGCGGAAGCGCTAAGGTAAAGTCCCATGCATGAGCTTTCATAGTCTTTTGTAATGCAAAATTATATGTGACTGAGGATTAGGAAACTTACTGGTTTCTTCAGCTCTCTATAAAGCTTGCCTGCAGTCAATGGTCCTTGATAAGGTCTTTGACGCCCCGGCCCCCCTCCTTCCTCGAACTCCCTTTCATCCAAATACGCAACAAACCGCTCGTTCGCTTCTCCCTCATCTGCTCCGAGAGCTTCCAGACTTGCACCAATGCAGTAAGCCTCAACCATATCCGCCTGGGGTGAGCAGACGTCTGATTCGTCAGGGTCTAGCATGAAGGTGCGGACGACATTCTCATTCAGTCCTTGAGTCACGATGTAGGGTATGTTTTCGCGGCTGTAATCAAGATCCGGTCGACGAGTCGCAAACTCCCTGTTCCATTCGCAGGGTGTTAAATTCAGGCGCAAACTTGTCCTCTGGGCAGACCTCTGTTCTCCTCGACTATTGGCCATATGAATAATGATCAGGGTCAGCCTTCCCCTAGCCCCCACTCGGCGAAGGACAACAAGAACGGAGAGGAGGGTGGCGTTAAGAGGCACACCAAAAGGCTAAAACAACAACAACAAAAAGAAAATCAACACGGGAGCAAAGATACTTGAGGACAAAGATAACACCTGGTGACCCGCGGCTCCCCGGCCATGGATTAAGCATTATATTGAACATTGCCGCCACCCAAGTATACCACGTACAAGAACGAACCGAACCACCCTTATAAGCATCTCAAATATACAATCCATCTTCAATCGTTGCACTCGCCCAGTCGCTACTGGCCTCCGCCTCTGCAGTGCCCAACTCCCAGCTTCGAGTGCCCAACTTCTATCGTTTGACTACTTTTTCAACCCTACACTCTGCACATCGTGGCTGCTGGCAATAGGTGCAATTTTCCGTTTGTACGGGGATTGGACCATGTCCGCAAGCGCACTGTAGCAAGCATTAGCTTTGATACGCTTTCTCGAATGACAAGTGTGTTTGGAGTTGTTACACAGTAGAACACAAATATTGTCTTCTTCTTGCTTTTCGAGGGAGGCTATGAGGGCGGTATTTTCGTCAGCAAATTCACTTTGTAAAGATCGCTAAGATGTACAATGGACGTACTATCCCCCCGCGGCCTCGCCTCCCCTTGAATACTTACAGTGGGTCCAAGGATAACATCACGCCTACGTAGGCCAACTCAAGGATTAGCGAGTAGAGAGTCCTGAAAGCACCTAATATTTCCTCTTTTGGGGACTTTAACGAGGTTTTAGGGCGGCGTTACCCAAGGACCCACTGTAAGTGTTTAAGGGGGCAGTATCAAGATGGAACACATGCCGTGCAGTAGTCTGTGGAACATAACTGCTCTGGTGATCTAGAAACTAACCATCTTGTACTCGGTGAAGAGATTTTTTCGGTCTGTGCGACGTGACTCGTGACACGTATTCGGGCAGCAATGAGGCTGTTTAATTAAGTAAAGGATTAGAATTGTTAAATTGAAGTGTTACATGCAATTACCTACACGATTTGGAAAGTTATCTGTAACGTGAGTATGGCCGGGTTGAGGTTGAGAAAATGCCAAATTTTAAAATGAGATGCGGTGAGCTGAACCCTGCTAAACCTGGCTCATCTATGGCTTAAATATGAGAGCTTTTCCCTTCGAAAGTGTCCGTTTCTAACACACTGCAAACCTCATGCAAGGAAACTACGGGAAGGTTTGGTTGTCCAGCGGTTGCATTTTGTTGGTATAGAACAGCCTGTCACGGCTGGTTGCAGCCTCTGACAGTTCTTGCCAAACCGATCTCTTCGGCCCAGACAGCCTCACGCAAGGCGGAGGGATGGCCAACGCACTATGGTAGCGAACTCCCTGCGCGACTGATCTTAGTAAGTGTGATGGGTGTGTATCTATGTCTGCCACAATGAAAGCTAGCCTTCAATTGTCATGAGGTTATCTCATGGCTTAGAAAATTACGGCCCCAAAAGCGGGCTAGGAATGGCGGAGATAAGGTGTTATTTACCTGGCCAAGGGGGGGCGTCTCGCTTAAAGCGTGCTACGCGCGCAAATCCGAAATTTTTTCTCAGGCACCTACGGCAGCTAATTTTTAATATAATTAAGTAGAAGCCGCATATCGAAATCACTATTAGCTTTTGCTCTTTCAGAATCTAAAGCCCTTTTGTTTCTCCGATTGCTCCCGCTAGAGTTATAGCTGCGCGATAGGAGGGTAAGTTCGAGGCGCGCAGCGCTCGCTTAGTACCCCAAAGCCCCCGCCCCGGACGCTATCCGCTAGCGCAATGTGAGCGCGCGAAAGCAGCACTTTTTGGCTGCCCCTACAAGCCGTGTTGACTAATTCTTAGTTCTAGGATTGCGAAACCGCGTGCGCGCTTTCAGAATCTCAAATTTTTAGGCCCGTACGATAATTTTTGGGGTGGGGGGATTGCGCGGGCGGCCGGTTGGTGAGGGAGCAAGGGGGTCGGGGACTAGGGCGCGGAGGGCTTAGCGCGTGTAGGGGTGGGACCGTATTTTTTGGGGGGTTCAGGCTCAATTCCAGATGCCAGATTTGTTGAGGGAGTAGTTTCTTTTTAATTGCTTGCAAACGGTCTTCGCAGCCGTGAGACCCGATTCCCAACAAATTGGATTCTGCCGCCTGCCGTCGCATCGGGGTCTGGTTCTAATTGGGCGACCGGCGAAGCTTCCTTGGTTCCGACTTCCGAGGCTCGGGTTAAGATTTGGAAAACCGGAGCCCACAGAAAACAGAGGTCACCACCGGGTGTCGATCAGGGGTGTCGATGGCAGAATCCTTTTTTGGCTTAGCGCTCGGCACTTCCCGACCCTAGAATCGCACACACGACACCAACCCTCCTTATCCCCCCTCTTGCCTCCCCGGTATTAAATAGGAGTATTAATGATTTTAAAGTTTTAATAATACCTAATTTATTACTTATATTTACTTAAGCCTTTCTCTCAAATCAGAATTCTTAATATAGGTATAAGGAAGTTTATATAAGAGCTCTAGTTTTGGGGCGTAGAATAGGCGAGGCAATTATTGTGCCCGAGGCAAATAAGTTCCAGGTGCTTAATCGCTAAATTTTCAGGCTCTCTTAAGGTCGATATCCCTAATTAATACCCCCCAATTGAAATCCCCTAATTGATATCCCCTAATTAATACCCTTAATTAATACCTGGAAAGGTATCGTTTTATATTTTCCCATTCTACTAGAGGTTAAGAGGGAATATGCATTACTATAAACCTGTAAGACCCTAATCTTTTTTTTGACTAATTGCGATATAACTAAATTTGTCTGGAAATAATAATAATGGCAACGAGCTATTAGAGCAGAGAATGCAATACGCGCATTAGGTACCAATATACACTAATTTGCACATACTGGTGCAGACAAAGTAATGTATACGGGCACCCGCCACCGCTTGCTGATTTCGGCTAGTGTGGCCCCCATCGACACCCCAAATCGATCCCGGGGGGGGGTCGTTTTACTTTTTCCCGTTCAAACCTCAAGCTCTCGAGGTATTCCGTTTAGTATCGATCGAAATATAAGCAGAGATATATTTTTTCTCCTTACCAGTGCGAAATTAAGGAAAGAAAAGGTGTTCTAGGGCACGCAAGACCAGCGCACAGGTGGAACAGTTTAATGCCCCGGACTTGCAATAGAATTTTTTTCCAGGAAACTTAGAATTTTTTTTAAAAATGACAAAAGCACGACTGTAAACAACGGATCTCGACTTCTTTTCCTTATTTTATAGTTTTTTTGTGGGACCCTTCTTTCATATCATTTCCCCTGGCCTTTTATTGAATTGGTGATACACTAGCTTGGCTAGCTTACCAGTCCTTCCAGCATCAGGTTTAACCACTAATTTAGTTTTTTCCACTCACATTTGTAATGCTTCACTGCGGAGCTTTACGGAACGCTTACTAATATATAGTCATTTGCTTTATTAGCTGATTTATAATGTATCGGAGAAAGTGAGCTTGGCACCACCCATATTGCTGAAGGCTAATGGGGGATAAGAACTATACTTTGGACACTTTTCTCTCTTATTTCACTCTTTACTCTGCCTGTATCCAGTCATTTTATGCCTAGTCAACTTTCAATTCGTTTTTGCACCTCCATATTGTTCCCATTTCAATAAGTTCTGAGCCCGGGAGTGCTTTACTATTATAATTTCAGACGACAAGTGAGCTCACTAAAGTCCATTTCCTTCTTTGAGCTTAAGCAGTGGCTACTCTAACCAGAGCTAAGCCTTGAGTCCTGAGTACGCTTAGAATGCCATTGGAGTTGAGCACAAAGCTCTTATCCATATAGGAAAAACCTCCAAACTATATATATAGTTCTTTATAGAGCCTGGATCCCTAAGGATCGTGGCTTACCATGAACCATTTATCGCGGCCGGTAATCCACCACGTGGCTTTCCTGCTCGTGACTTCTGCCTGAGGTTCTATTGCACTGCACGTGCAGTTGCAGAGCCTAAGGTCCTCAAGCCTTATGGTGTGTGTAACAGTTCGCTGGAGAAAATGCTCGCTTAAATTTACGCAACGAATAAACATGGACGGATTTTAATGCCGCGCACCTTCATTGCCTAGTATATATATGCTACGGCTGGCCTTAATAGTTTAAGGAGCCTTCTCCCAAAATAGCCGTACCTCATCCTACCTTACCTTACCCTTACCTTACCCTACCTTACTTACAAAATTTCCTCTTAGAGGACAAGAATATCACTTAGTCATGAGTGGTACTCCTGTAAACTAGTCTATCGGCGAGGCTATCAAGTCCGAGAGAACATTTTTACATACGCAGACTCCCAAAAATGATGATTATCCACATGTTAATGTATGGTCTTCGGAGCACGATAAGGACGGCAATCTAGTCTACCGGCCGCCTGCATCCCAGTTGGTAGACCAGATGTGCTTAGACACCCATGGGCCATTTGGTCAGCCTCGACTCACAGCGGAAGCTCCGATAGGCAAGGAGATGCTCGAAATTCAACAGTATACTTTGGACCAAGCTATGGCTCGGAAATGGGCCAACAACCTACGATTTCTAGCTCTGAAATCTGTAGAGCAGCCAGGCATGAACGAATATTTCCCGTTTCCCATACCTAAAACCAAGTCGATGCACGATCTTTGGCTAACAGAGCCTGGCGAGTTTCCTGGCACTACCGACTATGTTACGGTTTCCTATTATTGGCAGACAAAGGAAAGATTTCCGAAATATACCGTGAGCGATGCCCAGTCATCCACGCCACGGCCGGTGACGGCTCCCAATGAAGTGCTTAATCGTACAATTCATTTTGCTACATACCACAATACCTGTTTTATATGGATTGACCAAGTATGCATTAATCAAGATAATCGAACTAACAAGGAGCTAGGGATATAATCAATAGACCTGGTATTTTAGCGGGCCAAGTTCACCGCTGGAATCCTATCCGTATCCGTTTACGAGCCTCGATATACAGAGGCTCTGAATGGTCTCCGCGAAGCTAGGTATCAAGATGATTACGGCTATCTTCCTCCAGCTGGTTTGGGTAGAGAAGCAGAGTTGAGCCCAAGACCATGGGATATAGTTGGGTTGTTTGAGATTTTGGCTTCAGATTAATGGCTAATACGAGCTTGGAACTTTCAAGAAGCAACTTGCGCTGGAGCTCATCTGGTGTTACTCCTCAAATGCCCCAAAGGACGAGGATGGCAAGGAGACGCGAGAAGATGGGATGGCGTCATTTGCATTGATTCCAATCACCTTCGGGCGTATTTGGTACTCAAACTCCCGCTAAACCCGCCATTTGAGACCCCCCTTGAGGAATCAATGGGATTCCATCGACGTTTAACAGCCAGCAGAGCGAAGCTTCAAAATCTAGCTCTCTGTGATTTATTTTTGGACCCATACTAATTGGCGCTAGAGTTGGTGTAGCCTAGCTGAGCTTCAGATCCCTGTACCTATGGTAGCACAACGAATTATCGAGAATTGCAGTCTATGATAATATTACTACGGATGTTGTTGATACAGGACTGTGGAAGGAGCTTGTAAAGAAACGTATGTGCGCCTTCTTACCTCCGACGGTCTAACATCCGCCCGAGTTCTTGGTGTTACCCCAGACTTCCCTTTCCTAAAACCGACATCCAGTACGAAGAACCCTGTCGGTCGCCCCGTTTGCTTTGCTCTTCCAGCGAGGGGCTTTTGCTGTCCAATCAAATTCACAAATTCGATGCAGCACAGCGCCCAAGCCACGATCACGCGAGAAAGCCCAACATCCTTCGGCGTTCAATGAGGCTTATAGTTGAGCGCTCTCACTTGAAAAAAGCTTCAAAATAACAAGCTTTCTCCCCAACTCCTGAATAGCGAATGCAAAGAACCAAATCTATCAGAATAAATATGCGCAAGTTCAACATATCCGTCGCTGAGTTCTGGCTCGTTGTCCTTGTCCTTGCCCTGTCGCTGGTGACTATCCTCGCTGGCGTGAGAGGAACCAATACTGGCATTCCTATCGCAACCGTAAGTTAATCCCTCAATTCTGACTTTGAGCTGCTCAAACTCATGATATCTTCATCCTTCACCACCCTTCTTAGTCTTACAGCTCACTAACTTTCTCAAGTTCAACACTTCCTCTCTAGGCCTCGACGCCTACCATGACCCCAGTTCTTCCCTTCACGATGCCGTCGTTTCCCTGATTCCGTCCGATGTAGTCAACCCACCATCCATCACACAGTACCTCAACGTCAAAGACTGGTACATCATGCACTACTTCTCCGTCTGCTCGGGGTACTACATTCCTTCGTCAAGCAACCCCTCTGTGCTCACCTCCAGCACAACAAACATAACATGTGTGAGACGATATTCGGGGTATAGCTTTTCGCTCCATGATACCATTACCTCGACGCTATCTTCTGAGGTCATAGGTCTTGCCGAAAAAATGACGGCCCAGAGATGGAGCACGAGGACGGCAATTAGTGCGTGGTATACGGGGGTTTCGAATGTGTTTCTGAGTTTTGTTGCGTTGTCTTTTGCTCTTTGGTGTGGTAGAGCGTGGTGGAGTGAGACTATTATTATGTCTCTCGTACGTCCTTCCTCTCAATCCCCTCCCCTCTTTTACATCCTAGTCATCCCAGCGAAGAGTTAAGACTCGACGCAATTTACAATCATCCTAACAATCACAAACACAGATCGCCTGGCTCTGCTTCTTCATCGGCTCCGGCATCATGACGCACCAAATCCTCTCCATCCAACGCCTCTCTGGCAGCGGTGTAGGGCCGAATCCCTACCCCGGGTCGTTCTTAGCATTGACGTGGGCCTGTTCTGTTTTTCAGTTTTTGGCGTTCTGTATTAGGTGGTTGGGGATTAGGACTGTTGGGAGGGAGTGGGTGCTTGTAGGGAGAGGATCGGGGAGGTGGAGGTGGAAAGAGGAATTGAATTGGAAGGGGGGAAGCAGTGGGAGACTTGTAGTAAGGATTCTTAGGAATATGGGGTTGGGATAGGGAAGATAGGAGGGTTAAGGGATAGGTTAGGAATTGGGGTGGGAGTTAGGGAACGGGGTTAAGAGCTTTTGGACTTTGGTTAGGGAGTAGTTTCCCAAATGTTATGTTTCATTCAATCCTTTTTATTCCTTGTTGATCTCCTAGATCATAATATAACTCTCACCGACTCAGTATCGTGGAATCAGCGGGCATTAGAGGATCGTTCCGTTATGGACTTCAAAGTTTTACGATTTCTTTGGTGGCCAAAGTTCGCAGTTTCCACTAATAAATCACGATTCAAAGATAACTTATTATTTGCAGTGGAAAGTTTCTTTTGGGCTAATCCTACATCTTGCTATGTGGACCCATATTTATTGGCATTTTCCTATGCTCATCTAGCGCCAGAACCGAACCTTTCCCGTCCTTTATCACACACGTAAGAGTAGCTTTCCATCTCCAAATCGTTAGCACCTCAGCCATTGACCTCTTGCTTCCCCAACTCATAGCTATTCGAAGTACAGTCGCTAGCGAAATCGGCCTTTTGCCATTAAACGCTTTTAGGAATTTATCGGAGAAGTAAAACGATGTCCGGGAGGGGGGAGGGCGGGTCGTTTTACATTTTCCCAACCCGTCGAATAAAGACGAGCAAGCTCGGTCAAGTTTTACGGTCACGGAGCAGCAGGGCAGCAGGAGTGTTGGTGCTAACGGGAAAAACTAAAACGACCCCCCACCCCCGGGGGGGGGGGGGGGGGGGGGGTCGATTAGGGGTGTCGACGACTTGACGACTTGTAATTGGCTACCTAAGCTCTTTAAAAATCTTAAGTTAGATTTTTTAATATAAGTATGAGCTACTGTTGCATTAAATGCGGTTGTATTGTAATATATTCGGATAATGGAGAGGAGAGAGGTGTGGCACGGATGGCTAGAGCTAAATACAGTGTGTGTAGTCACGTGAGCCAAGCACACGTGACTTACCTGCAATTGCCATGCAACAGCTACTATATAATAACCCTTATATTATAATCCCGTGCTTCTTAACTTATAATAAAGAGATTCTTTGAAATAGTATTTTAATTTAAGGGAGTTTATATACTAATTAATTAAGTTTTAGTTTTTAAGCCTTATAAGGCCCTATAAATCATGGGCTTATAGGGCTCTTATATCTGGTTTTAGGGACTTTTTCGCTAAATTTCTAGGCTTTCTTAAGCTTACCTTTAAGCTATAAAATATGAAATTTTCAACTTCTTTAATTTAAAGAGCTATTACTAATCCAATTTTTATAAAAAGTTCATATTTAAATAGCCCTTAATTAGCGCTATAAGGAAATAAAACAAGAGTTAAATTATATTAATTCCTTATAAAATTGAATTAAAATAAAGAAAAAACCAGAGTTTTGGTGTTCCTGTCCGAGCGCCTCTACTTTGGGTTAGTGGTTAGTTTGCTCCCCATCGACACCCCTAATCGACATCCGGGGGGGGGTCGTTTTAGTTTTCCCCGTGCTAACAGGCAGGCAAACAATGCTGAGGTCACGACCAGAGCTGGTAATCAATGCAGTAAAGCCTTAATATATGAGGGTAAGTTTAACGTTGATTGAGTCCTCTAAAGGACAAGGTATAATGGTTGCAGAGAAAGTTGAGGGGCCTGAATCACGCTAGCCTGATTTAGGAGCACTAAGACAAAAACACACATGCACGTGATTTGCAAAGTATACAACAGGACCTAGCTTTCTTACCTAGGCTACTTGGATTTCTCAGGATTACTGCTTGGGTATGAAAGTTCTTTCATTGCATTCAAAGTACAGAAGAGAAAGAGGTACAAGATGATGCCAAGATTTTGAGGTGAGAGTTGTGTGGCACAGTTTGTGCCCCTGAAATCGCGCCTGCCACCACAGGTATACCCGTGTGTCAGCCAGCCTAAGCGATATGAGGTCTTACTTCTTGCCAACGTCGTTTCTAATCTTAATAATACTTTTCTTGCACCAAACCCACACGAACAGGCACGGCTACTCGCTGCTCGTCTTTCGTGAGTGGAAATCAATAACCAGGCTACCTCACGGAACTCACAAGCTTTGCACCAACTAGTTGGCACGCAAATAACACTAGCGAATGAGGCAACAAGACAGCTTCTGATAGGCCGGAAGATCGCCCTTGAGGCTTACAGACATCCGCTCTCCCGGAAATAGCTGCTTCATTCGAGGATTGCAAGCCACCAAGCTTTGTTTCCTTGCTCATATCATCTCATTTAATCCTTCCACCCGAAAGCAGACGATCCTCGCAAACCAAAACCGCAACAACCAAACAGTAAAGGTATCCATCATGACTCTGAAAGTTCTCATTGTCGGTGCTGGTTAGTAAACGCCGTATCCTGCCTCGGATTGTCAAAATCTAAACTTAAAAAGGGGTATCTGGTTTGACGACCCTGAAAGAATGTCTCGCGGCTGGTTTCGAAGCAATAATATTCGAAGCCCAAGGCCACATCGGCGGACAATGGCAATATACAGATCCCGATCCCGTAACAGGAGAAGTGCACTCCTCCATCTATCAAGGCACCATCTTCAACTCTTGTCGTGACACAAGCAGTTTCAGCGATTTTCCTATGGATCCTGCTAGTTACTCCGTCTACACTGGTCACAAGCAATTTGTGCAATATCTGCATGAGTATGCAACATTCTTCAACCTGATGTCGCACATCAAGTTGGGCACCAGGGTTATGAAGTGCGTACAGCTCGAGGGAGGAAAGTGGGAAATCACATCTTCGGCGGAAGAAGGCGCCAAGACAGGGACCTACGATGCACTTTTTGCTTGCACGGGCCACAATACAACGCCTTTCATACCTCAATTCCAAGGACTAGCAGATTTCAAGGGACAATTCATCCACAGCCATGTATACAGAACACCTGGAGCATTCGAGGGGAAGAAAGTCGCCGTGATCGGTGTTGGAAGTTCAGGTATCAGTTCCAAACCCCGACCCTCTTTACCCCTCATTGATATCTCTCGTAGCCGTGGACATCGCCTCAGAACTTGCTCCTCAAGCCAAAGCGCTCCACGTGATCACCCGGAAAGGTGGCTGGATCATACCACGCTTTGTCTTCGGCAAGCCAGTTGAGGCATTCGATAGTACGACTTCCTTGCCCCCAACTAATTCCTCATGGTAGGTACTAATGAGAGAGCGTACAGGTAGATTTGCAGCAACTGTTCTGCCATCAGCTATCACCAAATGGGCCCAGACAAAGCTGTGCAATCTCTTCATAGGCGATCTTCCACCTAAACTCAAACCCAAACATGGGATCCTTAAAGCAAATCCGACAGTCCGGAGTGACTTCCTCGAGAAAATCCACGTCGGCCTTATCACACCGCACCGTGCTGGCATAGAAAAATTTGCGGAGAAGGGGCTTTTGTTGACCAATGGCATGGAGTTGGACGTGGACGTCATTATTGCTTGCACAGGCTATCTTGTCTAACTCCAAAAATTTACCCTTGAAGTTATTACCACTAATGTGTTTGCAGATTGAATTCCCTTATCTTCCAGAGGACTCGTACAGAGCCAAGAAAAGTCTCTTTATAGATTCTCCCAATTCAGTCAACTTGTACGAATTGGTTACTCCGCCGAACTACCAGAATTTGTTCATCATCGGCATCCTTGAGTTGCCGTAAGTACATCTGCTCTTGCCTCGGATCTATCGGATCACTTTGCTGAAAATATGTCCTTCAGTGGCCCGCTTCCACCCATGGCAGAAATACAAGCAAGATGGTCCGTTGGGATCTTAGCTAAGAAATTCAATCTCCCAACTCGCGAACAAATGTCCAAATCAATCGAACAGTTCCAACAACACCTCGCCAAGAACGTAAGTCCGCTTTAGACCTAACCAAACAGTTTATTCCTCGCATACCATTCGAACACCATTTCACTAACAAACTTTTGCTTCAGTACGTCCACTCAGACCGGCACACCGTCACCATTGAGCCCTTCCAATATGCCGACCGTCTCCTGCGGCCCCTGCACGCAAACCCCTCCTTCAGCGCACTCTTCCGCAAGATCTTCACGTCCAATCCCTTTCGTGCTCTGTCAGTGTTGAATGCGGTGTACATGAGTATCCCGTCGAGTGGGCAGTTTCGGTTGTTAGGTGAGGGAGCTGATCAGGAGATTGCTGTGGCGTCGATATTGAGGATTGCGAAGGGGGCCAGGGAACTCAGCAAGGAGGAGAAAGAGGCATTGAGGAAAATGAGGGAGGGTGCCTCTGTCCCTTAGATTGGTTTTAGGTCTAGAAACTTCTTCAGGGGGAAATTGTCTTGTCATTGTAAGATTATTTCGGGGTAGGAAGTTGTAAGCCGCCGGGTGAGAAGAGGTTCAGCATCCTCCGCATTCTGCTTTTCCTCCCAGTACCCCCCCCTCTCTAGGCTTTCTGGGTGCAAACAATGTCTGCAGTTCGCATCGCACACAGCAATTCAAAATTTTGTTCTCTGTCTCAGTGGATACCTCTTGCCCTTCATGAAGATGGTATTCACCGTCTTCGCAGAGGGAGTCGTTGGTTGCCATTGCCCACTGTTTTGCGTCAGCCCGTTTATCTTCACGCATATCAATGAAACACTTATATTCACTCGATACACGGCCTTCCCAACCTCCAACTTCCCAAATTACCGATCTAGACTCCCCTGAAATTTCTCGCCATTCCCCGGGACAAGCTTATGCGTCTCCCTCAGCTTCAACCCCAGCTTATCGCCTGGATCGAAGCCCACTGGGTAGCACCAGATGAAACTCTGAAGGGAGTATCTATCTCCATATGGACTTGGAAGGAGCAGAAATAAATCCTCGTCGATATTGATCTTCAAGAGGCGAAGTGCTACGATTGGATCACTTGGAGGAGTTGTCGGTAAACTCTAGTTTGTAACAGTGTTCAGGACATAGTTGTTTTGCTCGAGGGTGAAGATCGTAGGGTAGTGTTGTGGTAAACACTCGTTGACGATGTAGGTGAAACGTTCGTTAATCATTGTGCGTGCTCAGAAAATCAAGTTGTACCGAAGCAAATGAATGGCTGGAATGAGATCTAGCAACAAGACACTTGCCCGGATGATTTTGGCATATCGTCAACCAATATCATGATCCTTGATAACTATGGTCAGATGCCAATATTAAAGAAGTTAGAATAGACCTTACAAGGGGCCCAATTCTCTCAGTCTATATATCTTTAGAGGACAGAAATAAGTGCCTTTAATTACTTATATTCTGATTTCAACTACTTGCTAATACAGGAATAGCTAGTAATATATAGTACAAATACAAATATAGAAGTAAATATAGATTCTTTATTACTTCTATTACTATTACTCTTATTATATAGCCTAAAAACCCTTTAAGCTCTATTAAAAAGCTTATTAAAGAAATAGGTAAAATATAAAAATATAATAGAACTAATAATAATTTTAATTATAAACTTATTATTTATTATAATATTTACTAATATATAAAGCCTTTATAAAAGGTACTTATAAGAGCTTTCTTTATTATATTAAAGAAACTAATATAAAACTACTTTTATAATAATTAGCTATTTTAATATATATATAAAGAGGCTTATATAAATATTTGTAATCTTTTTAAAAAATCTAAATTCTAGTATTAAAATCTAAATAAATAAAATATTATTATCTTAGCTTTTATACTAATTAAATATTTTAAAAATCAATATTTAAAGTTATTTAATTACTAATTAATAGCTTATATTAATTATAATACAAACTTATATTTGCTTTATAAAGTACTTGTCGGTTTACTAGTAATTGTCACGAAACCGAATCTCTGGGCTTGGAAAGCAAGGTAGAGTGGCTCTTAATCCGAGGATTCTAAACTAAGGAAGGAAGCTCGTATGTACAGGAGCTTTGGTGTTCTAAATACTAGCCAGCCGCATGCGTCATTAGTGATCACGTGACGCTAAATTTCCTAGTGAAGCGGCAGAGCGTAACAGTAATATATGGCACTGTTATATAGGCATGAAAATACTAGTTGCATTAGTTAGTAAAGTTGTTATTATTTAGAAATAGGGATTGCAGTATTATAGTATTAATATGCGATCCCTAAATCTGCTAAGCCTAAAGGGGTCTAGTCTACTAGTCGAGTTACTAATAGAATGCAAGGTTATATAACTATATCCCGTATCTCATATCCTATTACTTATATCCTATTATCTATATCCCGTATCCCGTATCCCATAACTATATATATAACTCCCAAAGAAATAGCTATACTAATACTAGAAACTCTCTAAAAACACGAAAAATAGTATCTTCCTCTAATTATATATAAATTCCCTAATCCGGCCTAGTACCAGATTTCCCAAACGCTTTATATATCCATATTACTTCTGAGGTTTTAGTTATATACTAAAGGCCGCAGTCTTTTATATGTGACTTCCTCTCTTATAATATTCTTCTATTTCATATATCTATTTCCTGCCCTATTTATACTCGATTTACTTCTCTATATTTAATTATATAGTATTTGTATTAATTAGGCGCTTAAGGGTATTTATTAGCTTTAATTTCGTTATGAAATTAGCAGGATTTAATTCTCCCTTAATCTATTTAACTTCTATAATCTCTCGTTATTTATATATCTGGCAAAGGTATATTATATTAATTATTAGACGCTTTTCTCGAGTAGTTCCTAATTTGACGAGGCATTTATATAATGACTTCAAATCCGTATAGACTACTAGTAATAATTCTATTTCTAATATTCTATTAATTATAGATTTGACTAAAGCACCTATATTAAAGCTATAAGCCATACTATAGAGTTCCGAAGCTAGAATACTTCTAGTAACTCTCTTGTATTTAGTAAAGAACTAGTAAATAATATTAGTATATCTAATTCCGTTTACTAGAACTAGAATATATCCGATTTAGGAAAAGAGATCTTTATTATTTATAAATAAAGTATTTATAAAAATAATTAAATATAAGAACTTCTTTACTAGCTTTATAAATCTTAGTTCTTTAGTAATATTCTTAATTTGCTATTAAATATATTTATTAAGTGCCTTTATATTAGTTTTCGAGGGTTTAATAGCTTAAGTAGTAATTAATAGGTTATATAAAGCTTCTGGTTAATAGACTAATATAATATATACTTCTCTAGTATATTAGGTAATATATTAGTCCTTAATAAAGAAATCTTAATAAATAGTACCCCTATTACTTATAGTAGTAATATTTTTTATAGAAATAGTTCAGAGGTTTTTATACTAGTATTTCTCTATAAAAGTAATTCTAGTAATATTTATATAAATAATACCTCTATTAAACTTAAGATTATAATTAATAATAAGGCACTTATATTTCTTAGCTAAGAACTTAGCCTTATAAAGCTTTAGTATTTTGTTTTTATAAAATTATTAGTTCTAATAAATAAGGTATTATTAGTTTAAAGGCTAATAATTCGGAAGAATTACTTACTATAAAGAAGGCAAGGGTTATAAGTTAATTATTTTATAGAAAGCTTATTAATATAATAGGAATAATAAGTTTTAAACTAGTAATTCCTAGCTTCCGGTATATTATACAGTAGTTTTATAACCTTTAGAACTGAATTATTATTTAGATTTAGCTCTCTAATAAGCTTATAAGATAGGTTATTAATTAGATATAAGCTTGTAAGATATTATATAAATATAGCTTTATAGTATTTATTATTATAATAATAATACTAAGGATAATTCTCTAGCTAATATATTAAATAGTAAGTAATTATATTAATATTATATATTTCTTACTATTATTATAAGCCTAAATAACTAGTTTTAATTTCTTAAACTCTTTCTCTATATTCTTATTCTTAGTCTTATTAATAAACCGGGAATTAAATTTTTTTTTTTTTAGTATCTGAGATCTAGAAGTAATCTTAAATATGCCCTTTTCTAAAAAGCTAGTAACTTTAACTTAATAGGAGTTCTTATATAGGTTATTATCTTATAGAAATACTATAATATCCGGGTTCTTATAAGAGTATTCTTTACTATATTTTAGTAAAATAACGGGAATAATAAGAGGAATTATACCTGTATTACTTTTAGTTTTATTATAAAGTTCGGGAATAGATTTAGATTCGGGGCTATTAATAATAACCTTAATATCCCTTATATAAAAGGGCTTTATAAAGGTTAAATAGAAGGTAGTATTACTATATAATAGAGCTAGTATATAGTTCTCTCTATTAATGGCTACTAGTTTATATAACTTATCCCAATTACTAGATTAACTAGTATTTCTTTTATATTATATAAGAATATCCGAATTCAAGAAAAGCTTATAAATATTAGTAGTACTAGAACTATTTCGGGTATTTAGGGTATTTGTAATCTAGTATCTAGCCTAAAGCTTCTAAATTTCTACTATTACTTTCTTAAGTACTACTAATTATTATAATATAATTAGTAATAAAGTATTATATTTAGTTATTTGAGGTAAAGTACTATAAATTAAAAGAGTTAAGATAATACTATTAGGTCTAACGGAATTACTAATAGCCTTAAAAGCTATTTAAAATACGGTATTCTTATTAATTCTATTAATTTTGGCTATAATAATAAAATAAATATATTAAATTAGGCTATAGTAGTATTCTATAATTCCAATAGAATTATAAGCTTCTATAAGAATAATTTTAACCTTAGTTCTTATAGTATTTATAAGCTAAGTAAACTTCTTACTAATAAACTGCTTTCTAATATCTATTATAATCTAATTAGGAGAGCCTAAATAGGTATTAATCTAATATTATTTTAGGGTATCCCAAATATATAATATACTAATATTTTAAAGCTATTAGCCAGCTTAATATTAAGTATCTTTATTAATAATATAAAATATAGGCTTACCGGAAATATAGAAAATATTAATAATAATAGAGTAATTAAAGCTAATATTATTTCTTAGGTTAAATTTAAATTATTCTAGTAATTATCCGAATTTCTAATATTACTTATAGTATTTTATAAGGTATTTAAAGGCTTTTATATTAATATTATAGCTTGCTTATTCTAGTATATTTTAGAGCTTACTAATAAATAAGTAACTAAAATAGTAATATAAATATTATAATTTAATTTCTATAAAAAAGCAGGAATTATAAATAAAGAATTCGGAAATAAAGCTTTATAGAATAGTATTCTAAAGTAAGAAAAAGTATTTAAAACATTATATTATAGGTATAAAGCATTTATTAGAAATAATAAGATAATTAGTAAGATTATTAAAGTAAATCCCTAGCTTATTTATATTAGCTAAGCTAAGTAGAAATAAAGTTTTTATAAATATAATATAGAATTATACTTGCCTAATTAGTATTCTTACTATTATAGATCTAATACTAAACTAGATATTAACTTAATCTTTAGTGGTTTTATTAAGTTAGATACTACTATTAGTCTATTATAAAGCTTGGAATTAGTTAGAACTAGTAATTAAGA